AAGAGAGAGAGAGAGAGAGAGAGAGAGAGAGAGAGGAGAGAGAGAGAGAGAGAGAGAGAGAGAGAGAGAGAGAGAGAGAGAGAGAGAGAGATAGAGAGAGAGAGAGAAGGATTATGCTGACTTTGACTGGCTCTGCTCCATTGTGACACTAGCTCCTAAGAAGCTGCACACTGCCACATGATGGACAGGCCTTGAAATTGCACAGATAACATCTGCCTCTCTCTCTCCCTCCATCCCTCTTTGTCTCTCTTTGTCCCTCTCTCCCTCTTTGTCTCTCTCTCTCTCTCTCTCTCTCTCACTCTCTCTCTCTGTATAGTATAATGTCCCTTAGCCCCAGGACGCTTTAGCTCTACAAATATGTGTAGCTGGAAAAACATGCAGTATGTGCACTGAGGGTTGTTGGCTGCAAAACGAACAGATTCTCTATTTGTATGACCCCCTGAGAAAGGGTGTAACAGAGAAAGCATCCCTGTCACAAGGGAAATAGCGTTGTAATGTTGCATGTATTGTTGCAACAAAAAAACGAAACGGTTTGCCTATGAAGCATTTTGTTTCTTTTTTCCCCGAGTGACGATACATGAGTCACAGTCGGTTTGGACTGAAGGCAATGAGTTTAAAAAGAAATACCTTGGGATGTGGAGTTAAAAAGAAGTGAGTTTACCAAACCCAGCACAATTCTGTACTTAAGGTCAGAAGCTCAAGGCTACAATAGCCACTGCTAGCATAACAAAAACAAAAAAGAGAGTGAGAGAGAGTAATTTTGATGTGAAATTAAATGTAATTGAAACAGAAAAAGCTAAATCAGAAAGGATGATACTTATAAGCCCCTTCTTGTTCGCTTCCTGTTCTCTTTGCACAAGTGCTTTAGACATTACTTTAAGAGTTAGCTTATGTGCCTTAGTTGGAATGACATAAGCTTGTTTAATACCGGTCAGAGTTTTTAATGTCTGACAATAAACCTTCTGCTAAGTCCTGCCATGCCTGACCCTCTTCATTACCTTCATCACTTAATGAAATAAGGAGTGACACACTGTAATAACTCTGCAGTGTAATCAAGCAAGACATTTATAATGTGCCATTCACAAGAATAGAAGAGCTATTGTAATATCCCTGTGTCCCACAATTCAAAGATTACATTCATCAGTGATCTGGGACATTCAATGTCCACCTAAAAACATATTTGGCCAAATCCTAATGTATTCTCTGTGTAGATGGCAAACCTCAATGCATAACTTACAGGTAATGTGTGTGTTTTCACTCTACTATTATGTATTTTGCTCTAAATGAAAGGAGACACAATTTCCCTTGAGAAATGCATAATCATTCTTCAAAATCACTGCTTCTATTTGATGACACAGTGCAGTACATTTTACAAAATAAATTTACAAATGAATTTTGTGATTTTCAAATATAATCATTTGTTATATCTGAAAGGGTTTTCATGCTGTAGCAAATCGGTGCCAGCTGAACATCATTAACTGTGCTATCTCCCAGTGTCATTTCCACTGTATCCCAGTGTCATCATGCTTCTCCCCCTAGAGACTCATCATACATGACTTTATCAGTAATGTTTGATATGCAGCGCACTGCTGAGCTCAGAACTGCAGACCCTCTGCTTCAAAACGCATTTCGTCCTGCCAGCGATTGCGTGACAGCGAACGCAAGTCAGGCAGGCGAGTGCCATAAGCAACGCCAAATCAAACCAAATCTTCCTGCTTTGATGTGGACATACAGTATAGACTACATCTTTTTTTATAACTGTTTGATAAGCAAAACAATCTTTGTCGCACTGAAATGTAACCTTTTGTCTACAATATATAGGAACAGTAAAGCTACCCAATGTTTTATCATGAATCAGTAAAAGTATTACGTATCTCAAACTTTCCTGACCATAATCAACATTCAATAATTTATCTCAGATCTTCCTCCATTATGGTTGGACCTGTTTACTATTATAAGACCCAATACATATTTTCAAATATCTAAAGAATAATTTCCACATCTGACTCTGAAGACTAACAGACCACATGATCTGGATTCCAGTCACCAATTTCAAATTTCTGCACCAATTTCACTGAAAGCCTATTTCTGCCTTATAACCATGCACAACATCATTCACACGCACGCACGCACGCACGCACGCACGCACGCACGCACGCACGCACGCACGCACGCACGCACGCACGCACGCACGCACGCACGCACGCACGCACGCACTCTGAGTAATTTTCTGGTTTTACAACTATTTCTACAAATTTACTGATCTAAGAATTGATTCTATACCTGTTTTGGTGGGTTATCGACAAAGTTGAAGTCCCGTATCCTGAGGAATTTAAGTGTAGTGAATGTCCGTTCCTTGTTGGTAAACGTAAAGTAAAAACTGGTAAAAAATAATATTATAAACTATGAAGACCTGTGTTACTTGTAAATATAGATAATTAAGTATTTAATATTTACCTGTATGTTACAAAGTGATTTCCAAATAAATGCAATGATACAGGAAGAGATGTAGTATAACGTTTTCTACTTGGATAACCGACTATATGTTTGAGGTTTTTTACGTTAAAGATGACTCTAAAGACTGAGTCAAGACTGGTTTTGTCTGCTCTGTCTGTGACGACGTATTACACCACACACACACACAACCACGCACGCACGCTCCACACACACACACAGAAGCCCCCCTCACGGACCCACCACCTACTGAACTTGGGTCGTAGGACTTGATTGTCAGTGATTAGACAAAGATTACTTTTAGGGGGTGACCTGGGTATGTTCCGGGGGTGTGTGTGAAGTGTCTGTGGTGGTGTGTGTATTTGGGTGTGTGTGTGTGTGTGTGTGTGTGTGTGTGTTGTGTTGTGTGTGTTGTGTTCGTGCTGTGCACTTTTTGTACGTATGTTTCACCGCGTGTGTGTCAGTAACGCGACGTGTGTACGTGGAAAATTGTGGTACCGATTTGGGGTGTCCCGGGGTAAATTTGTCAAAGGACCCGAAATTACGAGAAGTGGTGTTAGAAGGTCTCAGGTTTTGTGTAGTTTTCGTCATTGTGTTCCGTACACTTGTTGTGTTGATAGCCACCTCACGCAGTAACAAAGTGCAAACCTTACCTAAAGACGATACCCTTTTCGCTAAATTGAATTGGAAACGGGCTTTCTGATTAACTTTCTAACAATATGTTAATTTATCTAAACAACACCGGATATACAAATTGTAAACAAAAAGGATTTACTGTTGAGAGTAAAGAAACTTATGCGATGCTCCAACCTTGTAGTATGAGGTCTCTCCAGCGACACCTAATATTTTTTATGAAAGTTACATGAAAGTCGAAATA